CCTCTGTTGACACCTCGTGGTAGAAATTCCTTTGACTCAGTTCTCAGATTTTTCCTCTTTCGACTCACTCTCGTTTCAATTAGTACCTTCACGGAGGTGCCCCATGACCAGTCACGTCCAGATACAATATTTCAAACTCAATCCTCCTCATTTTAGGCATTATGATCACATATACAGCCTCCATTTTGCCAATCTTGTTCCTTTCCCCTCCGATTTATCTCTTATACAACACAGCAGTCCTCTCTTTGGGTTTCTCTTCCTTTGTCTGCCTCTTAAAGTATTTGGCAGTTACCTCTTTGGTATTTTTGTTCTACTTCAGTAGTTCTTAAGACTTTCTGGGATAATGGACCCCTGTGAACATCTATTGAACCTTACAAATTGTATACCAAAAAAAATGAGCATACAAAACGTCTACTGCAATTTCACCAAATCAATGACCCCAAATAATAATCTGTGTTCATCTACTCAAGACTTTAATTGTTGTTTACATAAATTTCTTTTCCAGCTTCACTTTTAGAAATTTCAAGATACCCTCAGGATATTGTCCAAATGGTCCACAGGCACCACAAACTAGCCCAAACCAGAAGTCATGATTTTTCTCTGACAAACCTGCTTTGCCTCCTGTATGTTTTCATTCTTTCTGATAATGGCATCACCATCCTCCAAGCTCCAAGTCTTGGAATCAGCTATACCCATACCTGGAGTCCTGTATGGCACTGTAGAATAAGCACTGGACTGCTATCCACAAGGTTGGCAGTTCAAACTCACCAGTCATTCTTTGGAAACCCTATACAGAGTGGCTATGAGTCAGAATTGACTCAATGGCACTTAACAATACCCAACCAAACACAGAAGCCAGTCTTGTTCATTCTCAGAAATCCCCCTCAAACTCAAATTTCATCTCTCTTGGCCTTTTACCCCTTGTTGTTGTTGTTGCTAAGTGCTGTTGAGTCGGTTCCAACTCATAGCGACACTGGATTTCCAAGGAGCTAAAACCACCGACCTTATGGTTCAAACCGACCTTGCAGTCCAGCGCATTAACCCACAGTGCCATCTTATTCTTGAGTCTATCCACACTTTTCACAGTGAAAGATTTTTCTGACATTGCTGATGAGAGCTGCTGTTATTGAAGTCTATCCCTATCATATTTCTGACTTCCATCTGCTACTTTCCACTGCCACTGTATTCTTGCATTCTAAATGGATTAACACACTAGACTGCTAACCATGACGTCTCAACTCTCTAACCCACATGCAGTCACCATAAGTCGGAACTGACTCAATGGCAACTGGTGGTGGTGGTGGTATATGGTTACAAGTTGGATATTGAAAATGGAGTCTGAAAAAGAAACAATGCATTCAAACTGTGGTGTTGGCAAAGAATACTGAATATACTGTTATGAATACATTAGTCTATTAGAAGAAATAGAACCTAAATATGTTTTTTATAAGCAAGGATGGTAAGACTCCGACTCCCTTACTTTAAATTTGTCATCAGGAAAGACCAATCACTGGAAAAGGACATCACATTTGGTAGAGGGTTGACAAAAACAAAGGAAACCCTCAGTGAGATAGAATGAAATTAATAACCATAGCAGGCTCAAACTATCAAGAATTGTGAAGATGACACAGGATGCAACCGTTTTGTTCTGTCAAACATAAAGTCATCGGAAGTAAGAACTAACACAACAACAACTAACAATAAATGGTTGTAATAGCCACTTCAGTTTCCCCCTCTATCATTTCCATCAGTGTTGATCCATCTTGAGGCCCTCCCCACCAAAAATTAAAATTAACCATGTGACATTGATGATGATGCTAGCAACTATACAAAATTAGTCAAATTCAGTTCTGCCTTCAGTCTTCTATAGCTTGACACTTAAGTATTTTTCCATGATTAGATTCCACTGCTCAAGCTGTCACATGCTCCTATTTTCTGCCTATCAAAATTACACCCACTACTCAAATCCCATTCTTCTTTTTATATACTCCACATAATTATTAGGAAAAGACTGCACAAAATAAGTACCATTGCTCATTAGCTGACTCAGCAAATGCCGAAACATACTAAATACCCCAAAAAACTTAAATCCTTCTGGAAACTAGATCATTATTCAAACATTAACATTTCAACTTAGAAATCCTCTACCAACCCAGTGTGGTTAATCAACATTTATTAAAATTCTAATAATGTATGGTGTAGAAGATTAGATTCTCGTAAGAGTATTTTATCAAACTGAATGTAAAAAGCTAGGACCCAGAATTCCAATTATAATTTTATTTGGATTGGGATCTCACACAGTAACCAGATTTAGTATTTTACGTGACTGATGACTTAGAAGGTCATACAGTACAAAGCAGTAACAGAAATACAAGGTGGCTTTAAAAAGTTTATGGAAAAATGAATTAAAAGGTAATGGAATTTTTCCACAAAACCCCCTCAATAGTTCCCAAATCTAAATCATATTCACTAATAAAATTTTATCAGATAGAAAAATAACTTTCAATAGGAATGTCTTCAACCTGAAGATTTTCTAGTCCATATTGTAGCTAAGTGAATTCTACAAAGAAAGGTCAAAAGATGTGGTAAGCAATTCTGAGCATCGCATGAAACACACTTGTCTAGCAACAAGTGCTAATGGCCAAGACACAGAAGTATGATGCTGTGGGCAGACTCCCTCTCCCACCCATTACAGGCTCCTATTTTCACATACTTTGGACATATCAGAAAGGACCAGTCCCTGGAGAAGGTCATCATGCTTGGTCATGTGAAAAAGAGGAAGACCCTCAACAAGATGGATTGACACACTGGCTGCAACAATGTGCTCAAATATTGGGAAGATTGTGAGGATGGCACAGAAATAGTGTACATAAGGTCAGTGAGTCAGAACAAACACAAAGGTACCTAAATAACATTTCTTTTTGGTCTGGCCTAATTTAATGTCTCTTTTGGCTGCTCCTAAGCCCTTGAATTCCTGTTCAATTTCACAATGACAATTCAAGATTCAATTAAAGTCTCTTAAGAAAGAATTTTTAGAAAGACAATTCTATAGAAGGAGTCCTGGTGTGGCTCTGTGGGTTAATGCACCAGACTGCAAAGTCAGCAGTTCAAGCTCACCAGCGCTCCTTGGAAACCCTATACAGGGTCACTATGGGTCGGAACCAACTCGACGCCCAACTCGACGGCACTTACCAACAACATCTTTAAAAAGATAAAAGTCTTTCTATCTAGCTAAATAACTTGGGAAGATAAGGTATTTCTAAAATTATAATCATTCAAATGCTGATAACAGTAAAATAGGCTAAAATCCTGAAATCGTTAATAGTACTATTTAAGACAGCAGGTTGTAACGGAAAGAGCTGCCACATTTGAAATTGGATCTGTCTGAATCTGAAGTCTGACACTTTACTTATCTGACCTTAGGAACATTCTCACCTGAAAGCAAGCTAACACACATACACATACACACAAAAAAAACCTGTGCAGTCATCCCAACTCATAGCAACGCTAGTAAATAGTAAAACTAGAACTGTCCCATAGATTTTACAAGGCTGTAATTTTATGTAGACTGCCAGATCTTTTAAGTAGACTGCCGGATCTTTCTCCAATGGAACATGTGATGGGTTCAAACAGCCTACCGTTCTGATTACTGCTGAGTGCTTAACTACAGCACCACTAAGGCTTCCATGAAAGATTATCAACACCTTCCTCCCAATCCTTCCCTAGAGGTTGTTGTTCTTATTAGCACAGTACTTGCCATGAAATGGCCAATAAATATTAACTTGGGTCCTTCATTCAACATAAAAACATACAAGATTTAGACGCAACGAAGTCTTCACTTCTCCCTCTTCAACATACCACACAACGAACAGATCAAGTTAATAAAAACAATACTGTGAGCCTCTCATTCCACAAACGTTTCTGCGGGATCTATATCGAGGCAGACTAACCACATGAGATTCTTGCAAGCATTCTATTGAAGCTGCAAGTGTGTTTGTGTGTGCCGTTGTTAAGTGCTGTTGAGTCGATTCCGACTCATAAAGACCTTGAATAGGAAGATTTCCAAGAAGTGGCTGGTGGATTTGAATCACCGACCTTGGGGTTAGCCGTTCAGTGCTTATCCTACAGTACCACACCAGGACTCACACTCTTTATTCATATATATAGAGATATATATAGATAGATATATAGATATACACACACACACACATAACGACCACTGATGTATTAACAGGGAATGACTCATTTTGTTAAAACGTCTTGATGAATTTATGCTGGTTAACAGCGCGCACTGGGGAATAAATGGAGAAACAATTTGTCAAACGAGGCCCAACTCCAAAAAGGCTCTTTTAACTAAAACAAAAAAGGGGAGGCGGGTTTCTCCGCCAAAACGCTCAGAGTATAATATGAAAATCCATTTTCAAACGTAAGAATTGAAAATACTCTCCCCTCCTCCCAATCTACGCCGAGCCAGGGAGGCCGTTTAGAAAACCTGCGCTGGTAGAGCAGACCATTAGCAAGCACCTCGGAAAATATTTCCTAAAGGCAATTCGCAGAAAAACTAAGGAGGTGGGGGGCTGTGGTTAATAATCAATTAGGTGGGTTTTCTGCACACAGGTCGAGGTGAACATCTTTCCAAACCCCGCCGGCTCCTCCGCCAAGTCAAGTCTCGGAAAGAATTCCCGGTTTTACCAAAGAATGTCAAAAAGAAAGTCAGGACGCCAGCCAATTGGCAAATTGGGGTGGATTGGGGGGGGGGCGGGTTTTTTAATACGGCGCCGGCTCCGGAGGTCCCAGCCTCCGACCCCCACTCCTCCGAAGTGAACGAGGGCCCGCCCGACGAGCGCGCCGAGTGCAGCCGGAGACCGCACCCGGGTCCGGGGTCAGGGTCGCGGTGGAGCCGGAGGCCTAGGGCGAGCGAGGCCGTGGCGGACACCGCAGCGGACCCAAGCGTTGGGCGGCCCGGTGCGGCCTGGCCGGCCGGAGACACAAACACTCACCACACCATGCCGTAGGCGCCCTCGCCGATGTACGAGAGATTGGTGTAGCGCGGACCCACGTCGAACACCTGCCCGCGGACCATCTCTGGGCCCGCGCCCGCCGCCGCCGCCGCCGCCATGTTGGCTGCCGGGCCGCCGACGCCTCCGCCGCGCTGTGATCGACGCTCCGCGGCCGCCGCTCGGCTCCCGCCGGGCCTCCCGGAGGGGCCGCCTGCTGCTAAGGCAGTCGCCGCCGCCGACTGTGAAAGAGGATGGAAGGCGGCCTCTGGAGCTAGCTGGAGGACCAACGGCGGATAAAACGCAAAGCCTGACTGACTGACGAGCGGGCGAAGGGCGGGACTCGCGCCGAAGAGGGCGTCAGGGCGGGGGGCCAGGCGGCGTGTGCTAGGATTGGCTCCCCCTGGTCAGGGGGCAGGGCGGAAGCGGCTGGCGGAAGCGGGCAGCTAAAGGCGGAGACTGCTGGAACTGTAGAGGCTTAGCGAAGCGGTCACGTGTGGTTGTGAGGGAGTTGCGCGTGAAAGGTGGCTTTTGAGACCCTCAGGGCTTGAGAGAGGATCTACAAATTGGAGGCTTAGGAGAGATGAGCAGGGGCAAAGAGTGCCTTGTAATGGGGTCCTGACAGAATCAGAGAACCACCCGGGATAGCGCCTGAGGCCCAAATAGGCGCCACACACGGACAGACATAGGCTTTGAGACCCTGCTGAAGCTGAAAGGCCTTACTGAGATGAAAAACAGACATTTACATACTAAAAAAGTGTGAAAATCATAAGTGATACCAAAAAGGCAGACTCTGAGAGGATCCAATCCAAGGTCTCTTCATTAAGTACAATCTCACCAACAGCCCCTTGGACTGCTATGAGTCAGAACCAACTCAACGGCACTTGCACAACAAACTCTGTTCCTAAAAGGAACCCTGGTAGCATAGTGGGGTATGAGTTGGGCTGCTAACTCAAAACTCAACGGTTCAAATCTACCAGTAGCTCAAGAGAAATATGAGGCTTTCCGCTCCAGTAAAGATTGTTGTTGTTGTTGTTAAGTGCCGTCGAGTCGGTTCCGACCCATAGCGACCCTGTACAGGGTTTCCGAGGGTGTAAATCTTTACGGGAGTAGAAAGCCTCATCTTTCTCCCGCGGAGCGGCTGGTAGTTTCAAACCGCTGACCTTAAGGTTCGCAGCCCGATTTGTAACCACAGCATCCAAAACCCTATACAGGGAGGCTATAAAGGCACAAAGTGGCTAGCTTACAAGTTTTCAAGACGTGTTTAAGGGGAGAGGGCTGGAAGAACAAGGTAGATGGGGGAACACTGAGTCAGGTTTGCATGGGCTAAATGGGACAGAGGTAAATAGTGATAAGCATGCTCAACCTTGGAACAACAGGGCTCTGTTGTTATGAGGCATAATCTGAAGAGGGGAAATAATGCTAAAATGCTTGACTTATGAATATTGGTTTCCCTTGCCTACTGTTGTGAAAAAGACACTTGAGTGGGATGGAAAGTAATGTTGGGAAACATGATTACAGAAAGCTGGTAAGCCCATCTTCAGGCTATAACTGATTGGAATATCTAAAAGGGTTGCTAGAACTTGCTCAGTGAAAGGGGCTTCTTGTGGAGTCTTTGCATTGTATAGGACCTTAGGTGGAATCCTGAACCCCACCCAGAACCTTCTGAGGTGGGACATTCCTACTAGAAGGTACAAGCAGACCCACTTGGAACAACTAGAATGACAGAAGAGCCATCTTCAAAGAAAGATCATCAGGAAAAACCTGAAACAAAAATGGCAATATGAGTAGCTACTATAAGTATGAGTAGCCATCAAGGCAAGCAATTGAGTCCCTTTAGGACAAACCCTCTCCAAGACTGAAACTCAAAGGGAACACATGAGCAGGCATGTGAGCTTGCTGGCAACCATGCTGTCTGTTGGTGACTGGAAAAGGGGGAAAGGCAACAATGAAGATATGGGCTGAGTTCAACCTGGAGATGAGAGACAGAAGAGAAAGGGCTGGTTGGTCCAAAGTGTGGTGAGACCTGAGAACATCTGAGCCCATAAATAAAGACATAGCCATGGAGGGCTAGAGCTGAGAGTGACATGTCCAGGTGATATGAAGTGAGGGGATATGCACAAGAATGCCCAAATTTGTAGATAGTACCTATGTGACCTAGCCTTGATGGCTTGATAATTAAAACACGACTAGAGTAAGATTTAAAACATTTTTTTGATAAAGGAAATGAGTGTAAGTTGCTATAATATGATGAACTTGACCTATACTTATGGATGTAGTAGCTCAAAATACCAATTAAGAGGGAAGGAGTCTTGGCATCAAGAATCAATCCTATCCCCTCTGTATACAGGGACCGGCAACTTAGACATTGACTACCTAAAATGAGGGGGCAAAAAAGGCACAAAGTGACTGGCTTACAAGTTTTCAAGATGGAGTTTAAGAGTGTTCAGGGGAAGGTAGAGTCCCCACTGATTAGTTTTTATCTTGTCTAGACAGGTCTGATGAAAAGAGATGGGAATAAGATTCTTAAGATTCAATAGTGAATAATTGTTATCATGACTAACTGTGATTGTCACAACTATAAAGGTAGAAGTTTTGTAACAAAAACGGGAGAGTAGCTAATCTTACAGACCAGAAACAGAGGACCCTAGGACTACTAAGAGAGAGGAGCACAAGTAGAGTGCAGGATCCCCCCCACCAAAAAAAAGAGGGATTTAGTTTCAGAGTATGTGCGTTGGGGAGGGGGTGGGGGTTGAATTCCCACTGATGAGTTTTCATGTTGTCTAGACAGATCTGCAAGGAGCTCTGGTAGCATAGTGGTTACGGATCGGGCTGCGAATCTTAAGGCCAACAGTTCGAAACTACCAGCGGCTCTGCGGGAGAAAGATGAGGCGTTCTGCTCCCGTAAAGATTTACAGCCTCAGAAACCCTGTACAGGGTCGCTATGGGTCGGAACCGACTCGATGGCACTTAACAACAACAACAACAACAACAGACAGATCTGCAAGAGGAGGGGTTAGGACACTTGTGATTCAAAAGTGAGTAATTGTTATCATGACAGATTGCGATTGTCATAACTGTAAAGGTAGAAGTTTTGTAACACAAAGGGGGGAGTAGTTCATCTTACATTACAGGAACAGAGGATCCCTAGGAACATCAAGAGAGAAGAGCATGAATGGAACTTGGAACCCTATCTAGAGAAGCAGTAACACTGGAGATGGAGGTAGAGATGAGGACATGGCGAGATAGAGCAGCTGAAGGCTCTAAACTCAAGGAAAGAGAAAGGCTGCATGCTGGCATCCAGGACGCAGGCTTGCAGAATGTGCTCTTTGGTTATTTAAGTGATTATATATTCCTGCATGTTTCTGTGTACATTTTGTGGACATTCTAGTCCCTAATAGAAGCAAATGCTGTTAACTGAGGATGCATGGAAGGCATTATCATTATTGCAATGAAACAAAATATGATAGGTTAATTGCAAAACCAATGTTCTCCCATGTAAACTCAATTCACAATAAAAATCTTTTTTTTTTTTTTTTTTTTTAAGTAAAATGACAGTTTCCTGGGGCTTCGGAAGGAACAAAATAATGAGCAGTGACTGCTTAATGAGTATGTGGTTTCTTTTAGAGGTAATGAAAATGTTCTGGGACTAGACGGTGATACAGCTTTATGACTATACTGAAAGCCACTGAATTGTACGCTTTGAATAATATCTCAATAAAGGTGTTATTTAAAAAAAACTTAAAAACATACAGGGTGGCTATGAGTCATAACCAACTTAACAGCACACAACCACCAACTACTATGTTCCTGGGTGTCCAGCCCTGGGGGGGAAAACTCACTTTGTAGAAGTTACATTCTAAACTGAGGAGGCATGCATTGTGGTGCAGTGAAGTACTTAATATGACTCTTCTAGCCATAGTCCTCCATTTTGTGATGTATTATAAATCCTAGCCTGTATGTCAGGACTTCTGGTGTGGCACTGTAGGATCAGCACTGGACTGTGAACCACAAGATTGGCAGTTCAAATCCACCAACCGCTTCTCAAAAACCCTATACGGGGTTGCTGTCAGTTGGAACCAACTCAACAGCACTTAACAACACCATATGTCAGTAGTTGTGCTATCTGAGAGTCAGATACCTGTTATGTTAATGAGGCTGGATTGGAGTGGGATGTATCTTGAGTCACTGCCTTATTAGAGAGTGTGGCTCATGTCACCATACTTAGTTTCCTTAGGGGTGTGGTCTGCATTCAATATATAGGAATGTTCTGGCAAAGTTCTTACTTTCACTTTGGATCCTGCATCTAGCTCATCTTTGTCTGACCTCTAGATTCTTGCAACTTGAGCCAGAGTCCTATCATCTGACCTGTGATTTGGATTTGTCAGTCTCTGCAGCCACATGGGCCCAGTTCTTCCCAGCTCAAAGGTGGTAGCCAATCCAGTTACTTTGACTGTGGGTCACTTTCCACAGTCTTAGTAGTAATGCAATCTCACAAATAAGCTCCTGAAAGGGTTCATGAAACCTCTTCCAAGTTTCCCATTCCAGGGCTTCAAACTATAATTTTTTCCTGTTCCAGTTGGTTGTTGTTCCATATTTTATGCATGCAGGTCTGATCTGATTTTACTGTGCTGGGCATGACTGATCTGATTCAAACCCATTTGAATCCCTGGTTAGGGAATACTGAATTGAGAAACCAAAGACAGACATTAAGACTCAAGAGACTAAGATTCATTTTGGTAGTTAGACATATACTTCATAGACAAAGGACACTCTAAAATATAAATTCAAAGATGACAATGCTAAAAGAAAAACATCAAGACAGATAAAATGAGATAGACACACTAAGGTCCCAAATAGTCACAAACACCAGAGGTTGAAAAATAAAAATTGAAATCCTGAAGCAGGTAGATGCCAAGAATAGCTAAGACAATGAGACAGAAGATAAGCCTGTGAGTCACTTCCCATACCATCTCTGGAAGAAGAATAAGGGCAGCAGACCCTGCACCTTGATTGTCCACCATGCAAACTTAAAACCATTAACAAAGATCATATCAACGTGTCAATCTCAAATTTTGAATAAACAAAAATACTTAAATCTTGTGGGGGAAAAAATCTTGGCATGCAACAAAAAGAATAACGTTATAAAGGCAAAATTTACTCCTTTGAAATGTATTCAGTCCATGAAACAGAGCCCAAATTTAGAAAAAATAAACCTAACTGTAATTTTAAAACTAGACAAAGCCCTATTTCTAGCACAACTCCTATCCCTAATCTAAAAAAATAAAAAAGGAACAAAATAATTAAATTCTTAAAGAGAGAAGAAATGGAGGTGAAAATATTGTGGAGATTCTAACTATAGGCATAACCTAAAAGAAGACCAAGTAAATCAATTAAAAGCAATAGGAAAATATATAATATGTAATATAACACATATTTAAGAAATAAAACTATAGATAATAGAATTTTTGCTAGATTACTTATTCATTGCAAATAACTTTTTTCAACAGCATAAGTAGTGAGTATGTACATAATCAGATCAAATACACAGAATCAAATCAACATCTGTGGGACGACATGATGGAGAAGTTCATCATTCAGAACTAGGCCAAGGGGTGAATATAGAACAAATCAATTGGTCATATTCAAGTTGAAACTAAAGAAAATTAAAACAAGTTCCAAAAGCCAAAGCGACACACAGAAAAATGACAGTAATCAATTCATACCAAAGAATAATTGCACTGGATGTAAATGAATTAAATGCTCTAGTCAAGAACCACACAATAGCAGAATGCATGCAGACAGCCTAATGCCAATCAACAGAAGAATGGTTAAACAAACTTTGGTGAATATGCGCAATGGAATACTATGCAACATTGAAGAAAAATGATTAATCTACAAAACACCTCAATAAAAAACATTATGTTGAATTAAATTATTCAATCACAAAATGACAAAATATTGTATGAGACCACTGTTATAAAAAGTTAAGGAGAGGTTGTTTTGTTTTGTTTTCTAAGTTTTTATTGTGAATTGAGTGGTAGTTTACATGGGAGAACATCGGTTTTATACTCATTATTTCATTGGAATGATTACAATCTCCTCCATGCATCATCATTCAACAGTATTTGCTTCTATTCCCTCTGATTTGTTTTTTGTTTGTTTGTTTTGGGGGGTGTACACAAAACCATGCAGGAATACATAATCATTTAAACAACCAAAGGGCATATTCTGCAAGCCTGCCTCCTGGCCACTAACACACAGCTTTTCTCTTTCCATGAGTCTAGAGTCATCAGCTGCTCTATCTCTCCATGTTATCATCTCTGCCTCCATCTCTTGTATCACTGCTTCTCTGAAGAGGGTCCTACATTCTGCTCATGCTCTTCTCCCTTGATGGTCCTATGACCCTATGGTCCTCAGTTTCTGGAATGTAAGATTAACTGCTCCCCCCTTTATTTTACAAAACCTTTACAATGTGACAGTCACAATTAGTCGTGATAACAATTTATTGTTGTTGTTGTTATGTGCCATGGAGTCGGTTCCGACTCATAGTGAAGGTGTACAGGGTTTCCGAGGCTGTAACTCTTTACAGGAGCAGAAAGCCTTATCTTTCTCCCGTGGAACAGCTGGTAGTTTCGAACTGCCGACCTTGAGGTTAGCAGCTCGATTCGTAATCACTATGCTACCAGAGCTCCTTATGATAGTAATTATTGTTTTTGTTAGGTGCCATCAAGTCGGTACTGACCCATAGTGACCTTATGCACAGCACAATGAAACACTGCCCGATCCTGGGCCAACCTCACTACTATTGCCACACATGAGTCCATAGATGCTGTCACTTGGCCGATCCATCTCGTTGAGGGTCTTCCTCTTTTTCTCTGACCCTTCACCTTACCAAACATGATATCCTTC